GAATCAGGTGCAGGCAGTAAATACAGGCTAGGCCCTAATGGCCTATTAGTCAGATGCCAAGAGATGTCTTGAGTAATTAACCCTTGCTCCAGGTCAATTGGAAATGAGCTATGTTAGCCAGGGGGCTGAGTCATTATACTTGTAGTCATTTTGTACATTGATGGAGTACACCTGGCTTGGATGCATGGGCTTAGCATATATCAAAAGCAACCAGTGTGTAGAATTGCTCCACAACTCTTATAAAGCAATGCTTAGAAGGGAAAATTTGAACCACCAAAGTTCTCATGAGGCTCTTACTCACCCAGATGAAATAATTTCAGTTGTGAATGTGCTGTGAAGATTTTTGAAGTTGGGAAATTTGACTTCTACCTAACCAAGAAAATGGTAGGACTGCCTTTGCCCTGTATCCATACCTTGATGAATTCCTTGCATATTTCTGTGTCTTTTGGATGAGCACGTGATTTGATTTGCCCCAAGCATCTAATCTTCCCATCCATCAGACCCTCTTCCCAACATTTGTCAATACTGTAAATACTGTCAGTGGGTAGATAGTGGGGTTGACGCAAAGACCCCATGCCCATATGTTTAAGTTGAGGAAAAAACTGGGATGACAAAGAAGAGAGGTATGATATTGTGAAATCCATGTGATCTTATCATCCAGAGTTTGAGATAATAGTTAAAGCCTTGAGATGCATAAGGAGAAGTAGATCTTACTAGTGTGGCATCAAAGCTATACCATTCATTCTTGACGATCTGCCCCAGTGAAGTAATATTAGCATAACATCGACATTAACAACTAGAACAAAATCTAATCCCTTGGGTATTGTTTGTTTACTGCACTGGGTGAAAATTAGTGAGCCAACAGAGGGAGCTAAAATAGCACAGGAGAAGCTTGTGGATTCTGGGACTTATAGTGTTCCACATAACTGGTGACACAGTAATATAATAACCTTGGAGATATTGCAGGTAGCTGCAAAAGGGCAAAACATATCAGTCAATGTAAACATTGAAAAGATAAATCCTGTTCTGAGTAATATGACAATTTCTCCTCTATCTAAATGTATTATCGGTAAGGATATTGTAAGTAAATGGGTAAACCTGCCATTACCCCCTAGATCACTAGGGCAGGTGTCCTCAAACTACAGCCCTCAGGCCACATGCGGCCCACCAGGTGTTTTTGCCGCCGCTGCCTGTCCTTCTTAGCAGCCGACCTGTTGGGGGCCCACAGTGCGCATGTGTAGAATGTGCGCTGCACTCTCCAATGGCCCTCCAATGGTCTGAGGGACAGTGAACTGGCTCCTTGTTTAAAAAGTTTGAGGACCCCTGCACTAGGGTATAGAGGATTCACCTTCTTTCCAATTTTGTATTTAATTTTTATTGAAAGATATATATAAAAAATTGCAATATCTTAAGTGTGGAGCTAGCTGACTTTTCATACACTGGACACACCCATAAAATACCACTCAGATGAAGAAACAAAACATTATCAGCAACTTCCAAATCCCCCCTCATGCCTCCATCCCAAGGGGAATTGCTATTCAAACTGACTTTGAAAACTATGAATTACTTTTGTGTGTTTTTGCATATTGCATAAATGAAACTAAGCAGTATATACTCTTTTGTGCCAGGCATCTTTCACTAGACACTTTATGTTTTGAAATTCATTCAGATATTCATTCCATTGTTATGGTATATTTCATCACGTGATGTATCACAATTAATTTATCTTCCCTATTGCTCACGAGCATTTGATCATTTCCAGTTTGAGTTTATTACAAATAGAGCTGCTACAAAAATTCTAATCCATATCCATTGTTGAGTGGATGTATGTGTTTCTGAGGAGTGATATCTAGGGGTTGAATTGCTGGATCATAGACCAGGCACACATTCAGCTTTGGTAGTTACTGCCAAAGAATTCTGCAAGGCAGTTGGGTCAAATTTATACTTCCACCATCAGTTTTTCAGAGTTGCGGTTGCAGTCCGTTTTTGCTGACACTTGGTATTTTATCATTCTAGCCATGCTTTGGGGCACATGGTGAAATTGCATTGTAGTTTTAATTTTAATTCTCTGATAACTAATGAAGTTGATCAACTTTTCACATGTCTATAGGACAATTGGATATCCTTTTACGCGAAGGTGCGCCAGGTCTTTTGTCCATTCTCTTGGTGGGTCGATTATATTCCTCTTATTTATTTGTAAAAGTTCTTTATATATTTTGGATCTAAATCCTTATTTGGACACAAATATCGAAAATATTGCTTTGCAGACTGTGGCTTGCCTTTCGCTCTCGTACTGGCATCTGCTCCACGACCTCCTTGTGTGACTGCCCTTCTGAGGACATCAAAGAAGAGAGGTGATGTTCAAGATGCAGTGAGAACCAGAGGCCAGCCACAGAAGGTGGGCAGGCGTGAGAATGAGATTTCAGAGGAGGCAAGAATTGAAAAAAGTGGTGATTTTTTGAGGAGCTGCCAAACTGTTTTTACAGGAACTGCAGCATTTTACATTCTCACCAGCGACAGATGAGTGTTTAAAGTTCTCCACATCCTCTCCAACACTTATTTTCCATTCTCAAAAAAAACCCGTATAGCCATCCTGATGGGTGGAAAATGGTGTCATTGTGGTTTGGATTTGCATTTCCTTAATGACTTATCATGTTGAGCATCTTTTGATGTGCTTATTGGCCATTCATATATCTTCTTTGATGAAAATTAATGGTGTCTTTATATAAACAGAAATGCTTATTTTAATATTGAGAAATTCATAACTTTTTTCCTTTATAATTTTGTTGTTGTTGTATATAAGAAATATTTGCCTACTTTAAATCATGAAGATATTCTCCTGTGTGTGTTATTTTAGAAGCTTTATTGCTTTATTTTTTTAATCTTTCACATGTAGCTCGAGAATCCACTTTGGATATCTTTTGAGTAGATATAAGGTAGAGATCAAGGTACAGTTTTGCCACATAGCTCACCAATGGACCTAGGAAGTGAGTATTGAAAAAAATATCTTTTCACACCACACTGAAGAGTCAAAGTTATCACAACTAAGGTTAAAAAAATTATATTTAATTTATCTATATCTATACATTTCTAGTGTGTATCACATATGTATATATAAAAATATATAATAGAGAATAGATATTTCTAGATTCTCTATTCAGTTGCATAGTTATTTTGATTCTACTTATACTAACACCACGCAGTCTTAATTAATACAGCTTTATAATCAATCCTGAAATCTAGTAGTATTGGTCCTCCAGCTTTGTTCTGTTTCAAGATAGTTTTAATGGTGGTGACTGTCAGAAATACAAGACTCCCAGGAATACCCAGAGACATAAGAGGGACACATGTGGATGAGCCTTCAAGAGCTCCGCCCAGCCCCGCTGGGATCCCTTTTTACCATTGCTGCGTGCCCCTCTGAAGGCTCCTGGGTGCTTTGTTTCTTTTTTATTTTGAGACAGAGTCTCTGTTGCCCAGGTTAGAGTGCCCTGGTATCAGCCTAGCTCACAGCAACTTCAAACGCCTGGGCTCAAGCAATCCTTCTGCCTCAGCCTCCAGGGTAGCTGGGACTACAGGCATGCGCCACCATGCCCGGCTAATTTTTTCTATATATTTCAGTTGGCCAATTAATGTGCTTTCTCTTTTTAGTAGAGATGGGGGAGGAGGGGGGGGTCTCGCTCTTGCTCAGGCTGGTTTCGAACTCCTGACCTTGAGCTATCCTCCCACCTCGGCCTTCCAGAGTGCTAGGATTACAGGTGTGAGCCACCGCACCTGGCCGGTGCTTTGTTTCTAATAGTCACACCTGCTGCTTTCTTGAGAGGACTCCCTCCCGCTGCCCAGCAGCTTTGGCCACACGCTGAGAGTGCTGGATGCCCTGAGAGCTAGGTGGCCCCAGGCTGGTCCTTCACCAGGGACTGGCTGGTGCAGCAGAAGGGAAGCCCCATTCCTTTGCCTGGGTGGGACAAGCTCTGAGGCATAATTTATAGTGCAAAGTTCTTCAGGATAAAGCTATGCTACACCCCTACCCACCCTAGCACTTTGCCTGGTAGCCTTGGGAGGTCCATTCCCTTTGAGTCCTGCTGACTCTACTTCCTTTCCTGATTTTCCTGGGAGTTCTTCCTTAATACATTCCTTGTACATGAAACCTCTTCTCAGGCTCTGCTTCTGAGGAATCTGACCTAAAAGAGACACCGAAGCCACTTTAATTGAAACATTAAAGAGCGTTCAAATTGGATTGGAAGATTTGAGTATGCCCAAGAGGAATACCTGGGTCACACATAGATCAGGCTTTCAAACGCTTTCAGGTGTGTTATCGTCGGGTGACAGGGATGTCAAACGAAACCGAATATATTAAACATAAAGTGGAATATAGAAGGGACTCCAGAGAAATACTTGTGATCAAATAGGGTGAGAAGGGAGGAGACCGAGGAAGATGTCGTACGTGACCTTACGCAGGTCAGGATGAGTAGGAAGGGAGGGGGTGGCGTGAACAGACCTCAGACAAAGGGCACAAGTATGTGTTTTCAAAGACCACGTGTACCCTGCAATACCGCAAAGTAGAAAAGAAAGCTAATCGGAGGAACATTTGGAAGTGATTTGTATACGCCCCTATTCTTTTATTACACAGAAATCAAAGTGAAAATAAAGATAATTTTATTTTTGACAGGTAACTATTAATTTCAGCCAGTCCACCAAATCCAGCAAAGCAGAAACTTAAACTGAGCTAAGACATAAATCACGAATAGTTCCATATTATCAATACAACTAAGAGTATTTTTTTATTTAATTTAATTTATTTGTTTATTTATAGATAGGATCTCACTCTGTCACCCAGGCTCGAGTGCAGTGGTGTGATGATAGCTCACTGCAGCCTTGAACTCCTAAATTCAAGAGATCCTTCTGTTTCAGCCCCCCAAATAGCTGGGACTACAGGTGTGCTAATTTTTTATTTTTATTGTTTTCTTAGAGATCGGATCTCACTATGTCGCCCAGGCTGGTCTGGAACTCCTGGTCTCAAGGGATCCTCCTGCCTCAGCCTCCTGAGTAGCTGAGATTACAGGCACAAGCCACTGCACTCAGTTTAACACAGGTATTTCTTCCCCTTGTGAATGCTAGTAACTAAGGAACAGCAAAATTGCTAAAGAGAAAAATATACCCAATGCTCTCTATGGGGTGGGCGGGTGGAGGGGGAATAGATGTGCAGGTTTCTATCTGGTGCTCTTCCTCTTCAAGCCTCACTCTTGTTCCAGCTGTCTAATCTCCAGAGACAGCTTGTACACCTCCAGGGCCATCTTCACATCCTCTGGGCTTGGGAGACACTGTGTGAGTTTTCTGCCTGTAAGCACTTTCTCACAGCCTGTAGGGGCTTCCTAAAAGAAGTAAAAAGATGGTTTTTGAGAGGCTTCTCTCCAAACTAAATCCAAACACATGACCCCGTTGGGATGCATCATTGATGGCAACACAGCTGGAGTTTCAAAACCTTCCTCGGGACAGATGGACAAAATCCAAAAGAAACCTGGGTCCCAGCAGGGTTTGCCCTGGAGTCCGCACCTTCTCTGGTCTCAGGCAGCAATAAACAACAGCTAAAGCACGGAGGGACCAGGGCTCCAGAGGACAACCAGCGGCCTCTTTAGGGACAACTGGAGGGATAGTTCTGACGGAACTCCATCTGAAATGGAGCAAAAGCATAGCATTGAGTGGAGAAAGTATAAGGCTAGAGGCCAGGTCGCCTGTAGGGGCTTGGTCCTTCTTGCAATAAAGTGAGAGAATTAGAACTTGCCTTTACAAGCTCACCAGAGTGCTTCGAGGGTGACAGTGCTGATTGTGTAAGTGATTTGTCAGAAACAAATCCTGACAAAGGTCCGATCTCATTGATGTTGGCTGCGACAGAGCTTTGGATGATGCCACCGGTTTTAGGGATTGACGACAGTTCAAGGATTGTGCCACTTACCCACTCACACTTGGGCACCGCTGGGTACCAGGTTCCGTTCTCCGAGCAAGTGATAGTTTGGGGACCGACCACACCATAGCCAGCGTCACACTGAACAGTGACATTTTCAGTTTCAATGTAATGATCTTCGACGGTGACATTTTCAGGCTCAACGTACTGATTCTTATCCACAGACAGCTTTCCATTTTCTATCTCTGGTTTCAGACACAGGGCTATAAAGGAAAGAATTTTGATTATCCTTTGCTTCTTAGAATAAGATCTGATAGTAGCAAAAAATATTGAGAGTTGAGAAACACTGATAAATTTTACCTGATGCTGAGAGTTGTTCTTTACCTCCATTTATTTCATGATTATAACAATAAGGTTAATAATAATGCTAATGTTATTGTGCATACTACGTATCAATGTAAGCACTAATGCAAAACACTATTTTCTCCATTTTGTTAAAAAGAAAAAAATTAGGTACAGATAGTTTATGTAACTTGTCTAAGGTTGCATAGCTTTTAGGCAGCATGATTGTGATATAAACCTAGGTATTGCAGCCCTAGAAACTGAGTTTTCAAAACTGTTATATCTCAAAACCTTGATCTTTTTATGATCAATGACAATGAATAAGCTGTCACTACATGCAAGAACATACGTGATTTTCAAAAACATAATGTTGATTAAAGAAGCCAGGCACAAAAGAATACAAATGGGATTTCCTTTATATCATGTTGAAAAGTTGACAAAGCTAATCCATGGTGTTAAAAGTCAGAATAACTGGGGAGGAAAGTTGGGGAGTAACTGGGAGAGGGCAGGTGGGACATTTCTGGTTTTGGGGCAATGGTAATGCTTCTTGACTTGAGTGGTAGTTTGCATGGGTGGGTTTACCTTGTGATTGATTGACCTGTAGACCTAAAATTTGTACTCAGTGCTATAGTATGTTATATTGGAATTAAAACTTCTATTACAACAAAGCAAACTGTGGCCCTCCAGATGAACTCTGGAAAGACACACAACCATAACAGTAGTTTTAAGAGTGTTAAACTGTGTGATGGTTCATACTTTTAAAATATTATACCATGTGCATGTATTGATTACCCAAGTTGAATCAATAAGTAGAAGTCAAATTTCTAAGCACTGCCTTTGTCTAGAAGAAAAGCCTATTGTCAGAATGTCCACGATGGTTCTGTCTTCTAACCAAGGACAGTGAGTAAGGTTGGAGTTACCTTTACACTGAGGAGCTGGAGACAACCACTGCGAGTATTTGCAGGAGATTTTAGGCTCTCCAACCAGAATATATCCTTCATCGCATTCGTAGTACATCACAGTAGTAAAGGATAAAAATGAACTCACATCTTCATGGGACCCATGGGCAATGGGAGGAGGCATTTTGCAATCTTGAATGGTGAGAGAGAAGGATAGAAGAGAATGAGCTAGAGTGTAATTAACAATTCAGAGTGAACTGCCCTTCCCATTATATAGAACTATGTTATTAAATTATTATACTGATTTGAGTATGCCCAAGAGGAATACCTGGGTTACACATAGATCAGGCTTTCAAACGCTTTCAGGTATGTTATTATATTCTTGAGTATGTTCATATATTTCATTTCCTTGGCAAAATCACTATGCTATGGATACTATTCATGGACATTTTGGTACAAAAAGTATTAATTCAACCACAGGGAATCACTCTGAAACAGATCATATTTAGCAATCATGAGGCTAAATGAAAAGAATGCCAGAATGCCTTACAAATGGATTTTTTAAAACCAGACAATACGATATAAAAATGGCAAGGGACTTGAATAGACACTTCTATAAAGTGGCTATATACATGGTCAACAGGCATATGAATAGGTGCTCAACTTCAAAGGTTGTCAGGAAATGAAAAAATAAAGGCCACAATGAGAAACCACGACACACTTACCAGAATGTCTACAATTGAAAACTACTGTAATGCTGATGTTGTCAAGAATGTCAGTTGTGGTTTTTGCCTTCCTGGCTTTTTGGCTCCTTGTTTGGAAGAATTATAAGTAGGGCCGGTATGATAAAATGATAACAGACACGAAGCACTTCCACACAAGTAGTTTTTATTGTAAAGCGAAAGTAAGTATCAGAAAGAGGAAAAGTCTGTCCCCAAGAGTGGAGATGACCCTGAGTTTAAAGACAGAGTACAGAAAGTATAGTACACTGTCAAGGTCAGTAGAGAGTGGACAGTTCCAATAAGGAACGGCGTCATCCGAGGGTTAGGGTCTGTCCTTTATGCTAATCCCTAACGATATGTCAAGCTGGGGGTAGAATATTTATGTCTTTTCGGGGATGTGGGTGGAGATTTCCCAGAACCATGTGCTCTCCCATTTTCTGTCCTTGCATGGCTGGCTCTGGGACTGTCCTCATGCTAGGGGGTGTGAGTTTTACTATGTTAATGAGGAAAAGGTTATTTCTGGTTATAAGTTCCTAGTTTCTGTGTAGGCTCCCGGTTGGGAAAAGTCCCTAACCTTAAGTGCTTGTGGTTGTGGTTTCTCTTCTCTGTTTTTATTGCTCCCGACCCTCGGCCCTTGACCACATCCACCTATTGCCTGTCTCACTGCCTGCCCTGTCACCTGTATAGCCTCATCCCTGCCTAACACAGAATAAGGCACAATGGAACTCTGATGCATCGCTTCAGGAAATGTAACTTCCAAGGTACAGCCACTTCCAAGAACAATAGACTGTTATCCCCGAGAGGTGAAGATAATCGTATCTTAGAACCTAACAATTGCAATCGTGGGCATTTTCTTGGCAGAAATACAGGAACATGTACACCAAGAGACAAGCTTAGAAATGTCTCAAGCAACATTATTTATAATAGGCCCAACCATGAAAGAGCCAAAATACCCATCAACTATAGAAAAGGAAAGGAAATTGTAGTATATTCATCCAATGGAACATTATACAGCAATCAAAATGAATGAAACACTATTCACAATGCATATGAGTCTCACAATATATTGAACAAAAGTAGATAGACCCTGGATATATGATTCCATTTTTATTTGAAAAATCAGGATGGTGTTATATTTGAAGAAGGATGGGGACTTCTGGGGGCTGGCAAGGTCCTATTTCTCTGCCTGAGTGAGGTTTTCATAAGTGTTTACCTTTTGGCAAATCATTTTGCTGTATGTTTTCACTTTGTATACTTTTCCATATGTGTGTTATATTCTAATAAGATTTTAATAAAAGAGTTGGTAATCATTGATAATGTTTGAGGATTGACTGAATCTGGAATCTCTATGCAATCCCTACTTCTCCCAACTATCATACACTCCACAAAGAGTGTGTTTTATCAATTTTCAATGTTTGGGAAAGAGATTTATCAAAACTATGTAAAACAAAGACATACTTTGAAGTAAGAAATATATAATGCTGCGTTAGTCTATCAGAAAAGGAATTATCTACAGTTCCAAAAATTTTACAGAGGAAATTAGTGAAATTTAATAAATTTAGAGCATATTCATATTTTTAATTTATTATAAAATTTCTCTCAGATAAGAAACAAAGTTGGCTGACAGAGAAAAATATCACTTTGCTAAAAGCACATTTCCATTTAAATAATATAATGATAATTAAATTCCATAGCAACAGTTCATCAACCAGTTCTGCCAAGTTCTCTCAAATACATACATTTCTCATTTATTTATAAGCATTTCCCTACATTTCAATAATAATACCTTACATTTCTAAAAGACTTTACAGTTTACAAAGTATTCTGTATTTCTACTGCAGCAAATTTACAGAGTATTTGTGAACACAGATAATATTTTTGCTTTACGGATGGAAATGTTTTCTAATCAATCAGTAACTGAGATTGTAGATTGTATATAACTAACCTAATTGGAAAAGAAATGTGTTTTAAGCATTTAGAAGCAGTCATTTAAATG